TACGTATCTTACGTTAATTCGAAAGCCATGTGGACCAAGTTGACCTGAGAAAACCCACAGCACCGAGTACGCGTAAGTTAGGTAGCACGTACCGTACACAGTCGAGGATAATTTTGATTTCTCGTGGCAAGGAGGCACAATTAAGGACCGAATAGTTGGCGCAAGGGCCATTGGGCAAAAGATCATTGGGCAAAAGATCAACGAAAGAGTTGCTTTCCCTTTGGTTTGGGCAATGTGATAGGAGGGTAGGGGCTCGGGCTCAATCACGTGTGTCGGTCCAGGAAGATCAATACTCCGGTGGCGCTGTGCCCATTGACATCTTCAACATCTACCTAGTTCACCATCTGTCGGTTCCTCATACTAAAGGATATGCAGATAAGTGTGTGCACAGCCAAAATCGAATTTCTCGAATTTTGGTCCGAGAATAGCCAGATAGCGCGTCGTTGGGAAAGAGCATCATATTCAAAGTGAAACTGAACGATTCAAGTTAGGTGGTATGACCAATCAAGCAAATTGTTGGAAGAGGCAGAGGCGCCATTTAACCCTAACATGAACGCGCCTGGCCCTGCAGGGATGAAGTTGGGAACTCTCATGGTAGTTTAGGGGATCTGAACATCAACAGTTCAACGTTAGAACATGCCAAGTCTAGCCAAGAACCCCTGCGCTCACTCATACAAACTTTCCGCTTCCTCGCAGCTGGTGTGGTAGTGCACCGTGAATCGGCTTCAATGGAGGTACAGTGGGTGTTTAGGATGTTCGACTATCACGGGAGCGGACCGCTCCAGCCGGTAGCTGCGGCATCCCTCACATTACCGTAGACTTCCTAGTGCAGACCTGAGACAAAGTCTACGATATGAATACCAGAAGATACTATCCTTGAAACGATGTAGTAACTATATATACTGACATTGTGGCAAATGTCCGATAAATACGAAGCAAAGATTCAAGATAGTTAACATCATTATCCCCTTTAGTCTGACGCCGAATCAGTCTGTGCTATCTGAGTCGGCCCTGTTTGTGGCATGGCTTGCTACGATCACTCTTGTCCAGTAAATTAGCTCGTACCGATAGTGATATCAGCACGACTTAAGTTTGTCGGTCGACAAGGTTCGGAGGCCTTGCGAAAAGAGTCCCGATATACAGTGTATAAACTCCTGCGAGAGTCTGTTGTACAAGGGGATCCTGCGATCCCATAATGCCAGCCTGCATCGATGCCACATACGATCTTGCGGAGCGCTCGGCAGATCCGAGAAATACCGGATGTACAGCATAGTTCACATGTTTGGATACACATTTTTACGGAACAATTACATCTGCAAACATCTGTGGGTTCGGGCCAACGATTGTCGATGCCCGAACGGCGAGGCGTTCTCGAAAAGCGTAGCCAAAGCTCGTCGCTCGGTCATGACCGGTTCTCATCGGCAAATCTGACGTTGTCCTTGGATTCCCGCTCGGACTGCTCCAGCGGAAGGACTTCTATCCTTCTAGCCTCCGGCTTGGTGAAGGTATCATACAGATCTACGTCATCAATCTGATCCATGCTTTGAACTGGGAAAATCATGTTCAAAATGTAGAATATGACAGCACTGATTGCGAATCCTACATGATACAAATGTGAGTTGACTTTGGCCTTGGCAACAAATTGGCATTGCTTACCGATGAGGAAAGCCATATAATATAGCTGTATCAGTGCTCTCGGTGGCTGTGCATCTCCTCTGACACTCACCACAAGGCCACCAATGGTGGGTGCCCATCCACAAATCCACGCTGGTATCGCTCGCCAATTCAACCCCTTCCAGAAGTAGTAGCTCGAACCGTTTGTGCGATACAAGTGGCTCAGTCGAATCCGCCGCTTTCGTAACAAATAATAGTCACAGGTCATGATACCGATGATTGGCGCCAGGAAGACTGAAAACGAGGACAGCACAGAGATGAAAGTCTCCGCTCGATTGATGAGTTGCCAGGGTTGAACTATCCACGCCGCAAAGAATGTGATGATAGCACCGCGTCGTATGTCGAGATAACGTGGCCAAATGCCAGCCAGATCAATACCGCCAGCCACAGCATTACCGCAAATGTTCTCAAACATCGCCGTAAACGCGAAACCTGCGGCTAGGAAGAAGACAGCCGCACGAGCTTTCGATGATCCATCACCGTTATCCATCATACGCATGAGTAGATCTGGTGGCTATAGGGCGTAAAGTTGCGAATCAGCATGTTTGTTTCTCGATGTCTTGACCAAGATTCACACTTACGTTCCAATACACCTCACCATAAATCTTCTGCGCCGCCGAAGCAGTCACAAGACCTACAAGTGAGACTAGGATACCGGTAATGACACAACTACCTATCGTGCCGATCACATAGTGTCTGCGAGCGCGCGCATAGCGGGAGAAGTCGGATCCATTCGTTATGCCGGCAGCTAGCCCACCGATACTCTGATTGATGCCAGCCAGAATCAGCCACGAAGTGCCAAACGGAGATCCAGCAGGGACATTTTGTCCCGAATTCCAGAGTGGGCCTACGCCCTTTGCCACTGCGAGAGCCCAGATCATCCAAGCCAGCATTCCAGTGCCACACCATATAACCAAGATCAAGAATGGTATCTTGAATCTTTCGGGTCGAAGCCAGAGAAAGGGTGTTGATATGATCCAGAAAATCACAAAGCCAAGAAATTGGTCCGTCGTGGTCGGCATATCTGGCCCAAAGGTATTCTTCATACGTGCATAAGAGGGCCAAATTGCAGTCAGGCATACTGCGATAAGCCGGCCACCGTTCCAACCTGACCGAAGTAAGTCAAAAGATCTCTCAAAAGGATGTTGAGCATACATTGAACTGCGTTCCAGATGAAGTTCAGCATGATTCTTTGCGCGAGTGGAATAAAACTTCCTCTCATTCCCCAGCTATACCTATTTTGCACGGTATATCCAATGTGCCACTTCAAGCCAACCGCAGCGACAAGGGTGGAAAAGAGAGCTATCAGCACCCTACTCACAACGATGATGAGCATAGATTGTGGCACAGAAAGGCCCATGGCTTTGCGAAAAGTTAGTTAGCACTTTTGCTGTGCATGACATGTATAGAATGACAGCATACTCAGAAAGGTATTTGGCGTTTGCCAATTAGCGAGATTCAAGGACGCGATCGCCCAGAAGCCGAAGAAGTTGAACCATCCCCAGGTCCTTCGACTCGGCGGCAAGGGTATGAGGTCGTGATTGCTCCATGCATCTGTATACTCATGTTTTCCCTCATCGCCCTTCACACGTATAGCCTGATCAAGCGCCACAAGTTGCTCACGTAACGCCATGGTTGTTGTATGTGTAAAGTGGATGAATTTTCAAGAAGCAGAGAGAAAATGAGCGTGTACCTGTAGATTGGTCATTTGAGCCATCTCGGCATCCTTCATCCGAGTATGCAGCTATGCCGCTCTCACTGATAGTGCTAGAGTCAACTCAGCATACCAAGATAGATCTGAAGCGGAGAACAATATGGATTAGGCATCTCATCCTATGTGGAATTCCAGATCCAGCTTATTTGCATGCTGTTGCACTACCAGGTTAGCATATCCATGCACCAATGATTAGCTACAGATTATGCACTGTAATATAGAGAGTAAGAAGCTGCGAGGCATCCATGGGTTGACACAAGAGTGGGGTTACCAAGGCCCGAAACCCGCCACTAGAACCCCACCCCCACTAGTGCTCTGAAATCTTATCAGATCCTGAGATTGCACATTCAATTGGTGAGAGACACTTCTTCTTGGAGATACTGATATCTTCGTGACAATGGCTACTGTCAAGACTTTGAGGGTAGGCGTGGATGTAGGGGGGTAAGCTGCTGAAATCAGAGACGTAGATGACCTAGTAGGCTGATGAACTTCGTGTAGTACAAATACCGATGGTGTGATTATCGATCCAACAAGAGCACACGAAGAGGATCGTGGAATTGTAGCATGGTAAGGCCGAACATCGGTTTTTTAGTGTTTGATTCAGCTGTGACTGAAAACCCGCGTCCTCTCGGTAGCTGATCATTCCACAAGACGACATTAAAAATGTTATTTTGCAAGACGACCTCAAAGATGGGCAAAATATTATGAACTGCTGAATAGACATCTTGACTGTCATGTCAAAGATATAAGCTTACCCACAATTAGGCACAAGGCCCCGACGACATTGAATCCCAGCCATGGAATTACGAACGCAATCACTTCCATGTTCGAATCCGTATCCATAGATCCAAGATCCATAGCCAGCGTAACCATCGGAACAACTCACTTCGTCAACGCCGTAGTGACAAGAGACTCAACACGCCTCTCCACGGTCGCAGTCCTTCGTCTCTCTTCTGCCTATAGCAAATACGTCCCCCCCTGCTTAGACTGGCCGGCGTCTTTGCGCAACATAGTCCTCGGCCACTACGCGCTCGTAAAGGGTGGGCTAGAGGTCGATGGCAGTCTAATTTCCGATATCAAGGAACAAGAGATAGTGGAGCAATGTAGGATCATCAAAGAGAAGAAAATCCAAAGCATCGTCATTAATGGGGTCTTCAGTCCAATAGACACCATTGAGAAGCAGGAGGAACTAGCAGCTGAGATTGTCAAACGCGAGCTAGGAGAACAAGTCGATATCGTCCTTAGTAAGACAGTTGCAAATCTTGGCTTCATCGAACGCGAAAATGCCGCCATCTTGAACGCATCTATCCTGTCATTTGCGCGCAAAACAATTGCTTCGTTCCAGGATCCAATTAGGAGGCTTGGGCTGAATTGTCCTGTCTTCATCACTCAGAACGATGGGACGATATTGAGTGGTGAAGCCGCATCTCGTTTACCTATTCGCACCTTCTCTTCCGGACCAACGAACAGCATGCGCGGTGCTGCATATCTCATCGGCCAGAAGCTCAATGAGGCGATAATGGTGGTCGACATGGGTGGCACAACTACCGATGTCGGCTTGTTGCTGGCGAACGGATTCCCGAGACAGCAGGCAGCTTATTCGGAACTATCAGGCGTGAGAATGAACTTTTCCTACCCGGATGTCAAGAGCATTGGTTTAGGAGGTGGGAGCCTGGTGAGACGATTGGATGGACAGCTCCGGGTTGGACCAGAGTCTGTGGGTTATCAACTGCCAGAAAAAGCACTGGTATTCGGTGGTGCTGTACCGACAGCTACAGACTACACTGTTGCTGCTTCATCAGAGGTGAGGATAGGCGATACCGATAAAGTACGCGGAAAAGTACAAGAGACCGACATTCAGGACTTCAAGAAGGAAGTTCAAGATATGCTCGAGAGGATAATCGATACGATGAAGACTGCACCCGAAGATATACCAGTCTTGCTTGTCGGAGGCGGTGCGGTCATAGCCCCAGACAGTTTAAGAGGCGCAAGTCGAGTTCTCAAGCCTCAGTGGTCAGGGGTGGCCAACGCCATTGGCGCAGCCATGGCACGAGTAAGTGCCCTCGTCGACACTGTAAAGTCAACCGAGACACATACCTCCAAGGAGATACTCGCGGACATCTGCGAAGAAGCCAAGCAAAAGACCATCGAGGCCGGAGCTTTGGCAGACTCTGTCACCATCGTCGAGGTTGAAGACTTGCCTTTACAGTATGTGGCGAACAAATCGCGCTTCATTGTTCGAGCGGCAGGCGATTTCGACTTTTCGCGGGCAAGTGACTTCACGGACCTGAACGTCACCAGGGATGGAGAGGTCTCCTCTGCATTCGAGGAGGACGCCACGAAAGATGACATTGCTATTCCATCTGACGACGTCCCCCCGGTTGAAGACCAAACACTGCTAGAGGTCGACATTGTCACGTACAAGCCAAAAGTTATCAATCGCGAATGGTGGATATCGGAAACCGATCTCAACTGGATCTCGACAGGTTGTTATATTCTAGGAACTGGCGGCGGAGGCTCCCCGTATTCGACGATGCTGCGGGTACGGGGGATATTACGGGCGGGTGGGAAAGTACGCGTGATCAGTCCGGACGATCTGAGAGACGATGATCGAGTAGGATGCGGTGGCGGTGCTGGTAGTCCCACTGTAGGTATTGAAAGGCTACCTGCTGATGAGTGAGTTGTTCTTGGTCTGAAGAATATGCACGATTTAACCGAGATCGACAGGATGATGGATGCGCAGACCCATCTTTACGAGCTGTATAAGGGTGGAGCCGCCACGCACATTATACCCTTGGAGATCGGTGGGATGAACGGTCTGCAAGGTCTTGTACTGGGTGCATCAACTAATATGAACATTCCATGCGTGGATGCCGACTGGATGGGTCGAGCGTATCCCACGAAATGGCAGACCACACCTGTTGTATTTGGTGAGCGCGAGATTGTCTTTGCGCCAGTTGCTGTGGCAGATGGCAACGGAAATACACTATACATGGGGTCAGCGACGAGCGATCTGAAAGTCGAACAAGTCATAAGAGCAGCACTCAGCCAAATGGGCAGCGGTGTTGGGACTGCGGATGCACCGGTCACTGGGGCCGAGACAAGAAGGTGGGCTGTTGAACACACAATCTCTTTATCATGGCGCATTGGTCGAGAAGTCGCACGCGCTAGAAAGGAGAATCGCATCGAAAATGTTGCAGAAGCCATTATTGATGCTGTAGGAGGATCCGATACCGGGCGTGTCCTCTTCAAAGGCAAGATCGTAGGTGTGGAGCGCAGGCTTTACATGGGACATGTTTATGGTGAAGTAGTTATCGAGGGGGCAGATGCCAAGTACCACGGACGCATCAAAGTGCCCTTCAAGAACGAGAACATTGCCGCGATACACATACCTCAAAGCGGAGAGACCAAGGCTGGAGAAGAAAAGAACGAGGATGTACTGGCCATCGCACCAGACTTGGTAGCAGTCATCGATGCACAGAATGGCGAGGCCATTGGAACTCCTGAGTATAGATATGGCCTACTAGTTTCAGTGATTGGCATTACTGCTAGTGAGCGTTGGACCAGCCCCAGAGGTGTTGAGCTCGGAGGTCCAAATGCCTTCGGGCTACACCATTTGGATTATCGACCGTTGGGCAAGTTTGTGAAACCAGTCAGCGTGATTGACGAATATGATGGGCAGGCCTGATCACTTGTCAAAGTAAGATAGCAGTGGCACTCCGATAGGAATGAGATGGCCAATTTTAGGAACCTTAGAACTGATATGACCTTTAAGACGCAGCATCTGCAGATTTACTCAGCCCTGGATATAAGGGCATGATGATCTTGACAACAGCTTCATAGCTTGTGAAAAGGATGCCACCACTGAACACTGTACGCCCTAGCCGCATAGTTGTACCCTTCCAAAATCCACGTATACCATAGTCCAGCAAAACGCTCTTCATAGCTTCGAGAGTAGTGGTACCCTTTGCGCTTTGGCTACGTGTCTTGATGACATCGAAGGGCTGGGTGGATAGCGTCGTAACTACACCAGCCACGGAACCGTTGGCAAAATTGACCAGAGTATTTTGTTCGATGTTTTTTGTCTTCTCGTAGTCCTTCAGGATATTATAAGTTCCCATGCGAAAGGCTGTGGCAGATGCTTGTTTGAGAGTGGTTCCTGCAAAACCTCGGTACAATCCCAAGATCCCATGCTCTTTCCAGATAGTAGCAGTTGCATGTAAACCTGATCGAAATCTCTTCTCGTGTCGTGCGTCATCAATAAGTGCCGTCTTGATACGTTCTGTCGGCGTAACAGCTGTAATGGATGCTACTACTCCAGCAGTCATGCCTGCCAAAAGATTTCGTAATGGTGAGAGGGTGCCCGTCTCAGGGTCCGCGAAACTTTCCTTGATTTGATCGAAGAAGAGAAAGCGCACTGCATCTTTAGCTATTGAGCCCTACACTCCGAATTAGCATACATCGGATGCGACCAGCTGGAGTAGTGATAGTCGTGCAGGATTCGGCCGGGAAGATACTCACCACGACAAGCGCTCCACAACCTTTGTACAAAGCCCTAACGCCTTCCTGTTGGTAGACCCCAGTCACAACGGCGAACGGATTTCGTGGTGTCGGTATGCCTTTTTCAGCTCTTAGTTGCACTCGAGTTTTCGCGAATTCCAAAGGGTACTACAAAAGGTATCAGTCACGTATTTCTGCGACGCAATTCTGTGGCAACAGGTCGCCAATTGAACATACAGATAAGAAGCCTTCAATTCCTCCTGCTATACCCCCGGCAACCAAGGAAACTACGGCCGGTGTATTCTTGTCCTGCAAACAATGAACATTTTGTTTTACACATGTGTGGAATTCCTACATTACTGCCTGAAACCATTGGACAGCGGAAAGGGAATAGGAGCGACGTTATGTTGTTGTACTGGCACTGTGTTTGTGCCGCAAGATTCCGTTAAATAGTCGCGGATGCAGGTACGTGTAACTTAGGTAGCCGATAGCCGAGCTCACACAAGCGCGGCCTGCTACTTTGATGGCGGCTGGGACTAATCGATAGCGCGTCAGTTGCGCGCTTCTAATTGAATTATGTTTCAAGGAATCGTTTTGTAGTTAAGAAACAACCTCGCACGAAACAGTTACACGTCTAGTTGGTGATATGACAGGGTTCCTCCACCGTGACGTCAGTCAGATATAATCACGTGCCCTTTTACGATGGCGTTTCACCAAAAAAAACTAAAAAACTTGCATCGGCACCACAGAATAGCCTTGAGACTCGATAGTCTAATTGTTCAGCTCTTCACCTTCACTAGATTCTCCCGACCAGAACCTCGTAGTACCTAGTACTACTGGTAGCTCATTGCTTGACGCTTACCCAGCAATGTTAGACGATTGTGAAGGAACAAGAGTTGAGACGAAAGGTGCATAGGCGCAAGTATTAATGTTGACAGAAATCCATTGTCCTATAAATTGTACACGTTGAGCTCTAGGACGAAGCATCTTCCATGTCTATCAAGCTGCCGAACCGATTATCCCTCGCAGCAGCATATGCCTCTAACTTCCCATCATCATCGCTATCATCCTCGTCTATTATGCCTCGAGTCCGCCCCAACTTCTTCAGCACATCGTCAACGTTCCAAGCTATTCGTTCCGCACCAATCCTCGCACCTACTAGATTCGGCGCCCCTGGTCCCAGCCTCAAGCCGGCAAAACGGCCGGTGACAAAGAGCGGAACATCTTCGCTCCACATCAAATCGTCAGTTAGGCATGGGAATCCGCCGACGCATTCAATCGGGTATTCTTTGATGATCGATTGTAGGTACGGTATAGTGCGGATATCGGACTGAACACCGGTAGCGAAGACGATGTAGTCAATGGCCGGAAGTGTAGCCTCAGGCGATGAGGTGGTGCAAGACCAAGACTTCAGCACAGGGTCCCATGACAGCGACTGAAGAGTAGTGTACGTATGCATAGCAATCTTTCCACTTGCAACATGTGCGTCGAGGATTTTGCGATAGCGCGGTGTAATGCTACCTCCGTTGCGAGCTCGCGAATACATCTCGAAGCGTTCTACATGATTAGCTTCAATCCTCATAACTATCATTTACACATGGCATTCAACGCACCTTCGTCGGTATCTGCTGTCCAGAATTCGGCTTGCCTGAAGTTACGGAACTTCCCCACCCAGTCCAAGTCCATATCGAAATACTTAACCTTTAGCGGTCCTCGCATCAGGAGCCACACTCGGCTGACTCCACTTCTGATGGCGACGTCTGCAAGCTGAATGCTTGTCAGGCCGCCTCCAACGATGACTAGGTTCGTGGGTCGGCGAGCTTTGACCTTGGTCATAACGTATGAAGGCGGGAAATGCCTAACGTGCAGAGCGTGCGCAAAGCCTTCGTGTGTGGTTTCGTTTGGCAACCCAGGAATGATAGGTATGGTAGGGGCGTTTCCAGGACCGACAGCGAGTATCACAACGTGGGCATAGTGCACCCCAAGGTCGGTCTTGATGCGGAAGATCTTCTTTTCGTCCTCGAGGACATCGTCTGATATTACGCTATCGTGCTCAACGTCGTGCATGGTGCTGATGACATCATATTGAATATCCGTCACGCGTTCACACCTCAGCATGTCGTTGCTCAGGCCGTAGCGTTGTACAACTTCTGCGCAATGACACTCGAATAGATTGGTACTTGGGGTATAGTAATCTTTACGATCTCTTTCGTCAACATCCGGCGTGCGTCCTAGGAATCTTCCCTTCCCATTCAGCTTCTTCTTTTTTCTGTGCTTGCTGATCTCTTTGCCTGCGCAGCCGGGAAGTGCTAAGAGGTCCTTCTCTCCATTCTTCTTTTCGTAAGCGTACCCTAGAAGGGCATCGCGATCGGCAGGGTCCACATGGAAAAACATTGGACTCTGTAAGAAGTCAAGGTTGAAAGTTTTGAAAAGACGTTTCCATTTCGACATCCAGTCACACCCGTCAGCGTCCAGAACGAGCATATCTAATGCCTCGTTTGAGGTCGAGCTGTCTGGTCCACCATCAGAATCTTCAGGTGTAGAGGGTGGTGAAGGTAAAGAGTCTTTGTTCGTGCGGTAGTTCTTGATATTCATCTTTCGCCCATGTTTCCGTATCCAGTGGTACCGCTCATGCTCGTCATCTGTGAAAGTTGCCGAGGGTGTGTGCTCACGAAGTCTCGCAGCGACAGCTAGTCCAGCTGGACCGGCTCCCACAATCAGGACGTCGTGGACATGCATCTTCGTCTTCGAAATTGATCTTATACGTATGAAAAATAAGGGGAAAAAATGTTAATTTGCAGGACAGAGTAATGAGGTACGGAGCATTGCACCTGAGTGTTTGATGTACCTTGATGGCGAGGCTCGGGGTTAGGCGCGTCCATCCCTCCATCATGGTGCTCTTGCATGACGCGAAACGGGAGCCACTCGTAAACTGTCAATTCTTCCTCACAATAATGGATGAATCAATTAATCAGTGTTCTCTGTATGTGTTCTGGCCTGATGCATGGTGTAATCAGGCGGAAAGTGTCGCAGGGGGGGGGGGGGCACTGTCAAGTATGCGAGGCTGCAATGCGTGTTATCTTAAATCTCATTCATTCGTAATTGTGTCGGATGGTATTGAGTTGCTTGGGTATTACTGCATCTGGCATGCCCTCAAACGGCATGATAAGGATCTTGTTGCCTTATGCCTTCGTCAGTACTTCGCCAACTCAAATGAGGGGCCGGGTTTGGAACTGGAAGTGACCTCCTCTCTTCCATTTCAATGACGCTAGTAATGAATTGGGGTTCCCTGCTGTCCCCATGCTGCTTCCCCAGTACCCCATTGATATCCTCCTGGCTTTCCATGCGTTTGAAAACATCTCGAAAGCCTTTTGGTAACTGACAGGCTCTTTGAACTCCGCTCGACGATGCGTTGATGTTACGAGAGGCTTGCATCCTCGAAGAGTATGTGTTACCCCCATTGGTCGGATCGCTCCAGTTACGGAGCTTGAAAATGCGTTGAACGAGTGGATATGTCAACGGCAGGTTGGCGCAGAGGATTGCGGTGTATGATTCCCTGATATACCATATGGTCCATTGCGTTCCGAATGGATGCGTAAAAGAGTAGTATTTGTTCAAAACAGCGGCAACGATCTAGGAGTGATCAGTTTTGAAATGCACGCAGTGAGATGGTACGTACCGTGAATGCGCCAATGAGGAAGATCATGAAAAGAATTGCCTTGTTCTTCTTCGGCAGACGAACTTTGAACAGTAATGGCATAGGTATGCTTATGATGATGAGATCGCTCGAGATGTTGAAAACAGCATTCGTGATGAGGTGATTCGTCGCAGCAGAACATTGGCCTGGTTCAGTCAACAATCGTCATCATGTCGAGAGACTGGGGAACTCTGTTACTGGAGTATGTAGGAACGGCCCAGTATTGATTGAAAGGGCGACACCATACGCCGAAGTACAGTACTTCCATGGCGACCTGAAACCATGTTAGATTACATAGCAGATTTCCGCACCCCAGAGGTACTAAGACTGCGAACCTACAAATGTTAAACCAACGTAGACTGACGTAGCTATGACCACCTTGTGTTGAGGCAATACCATTGTCATACGATTGTACATGAGCAATAGGCAAGTCTTGATGAGCCAAATGGTAAGAATCTGCATCTGTTCCACCACCAAGACTAGTTTTGACCCGTAGATGCGGTTCTGAATTTCCAGAGCTGAGTACTGAGATACATCATCGCCGGGCGGAATGAGGTTGCTGCTGGTCTTGGTGATTTCGTGCATGACTGCAATAAGCACCGAATCCGTAGCCTGTTTCGTGCGTTAGTAGTAGTAAAGCTCACGCACTGCGATCTGCTTGCCATGGCTACTAATGTCAGATAGTCGTCCCATTGGAGGAGTTTCCAACTGCCTCTATGTAATCTTCGTGAGATCAATCGGACGACGATGACGACCCAGCAGAGGCCGTAGAAGATGCCCGTCTCTGGTTGTAGAACCGACATCTGCGGTTTTGCGCGATGACGCCAGAGCAGAAAGGAACTGGACAATGGATAGTGAAGAGGTCTTTGTAGTCTGTCAGACCAACACTAGCAACCGCCACTGTCGATGGAGGTTTGGCAACGACAGTGGAGTGCGGGAGCAGGCTGCACAGATAACACACAACTGACACAAATGTGCGCTCGGTCCGCAGCCGAGCCATATTGCGGACTAGTGAGAGCAATCTTGATGCAGTGATTCTTTCGGTAACAACCCCGGCTCAACATGTGATTGACCGGAGTACCTATGCACAGTAGTTGTCGATTTGGGATATAGCAGCCGCTGCTTGGGGAATAAGAGTGCTGTTGTGCTGTTCAGGCCAGGTCCAACCTTGAAAGTTGGATACTATGGAGAATGTCCAAGAGCTGACACCCCAGCATGCATCGAGGATGCAGATGCTGCTCACCTTCCCATTACCAGGCACAGTGAACTCCACCTCCACGTGGGTCACTCTGGAATCCCCAATGTCGATCGCAATCGGACCGCATGTTGACACTTGCGGATCCTGAGGAGCTAGCGTGATCAAGAAGCCATCGGTTTTAACGGTCTGCAGTACGGGCTCCTTCACCGCATAAAATTGTCACAAAGAGTCGATGAAAACCTATGGCCTGTATCCATGACTGCTGGCATGGCGACAAGACCAAGCATCCATCCGTCGTGAGATGTCTCTAAACCTTCAAGCTGAGAAGACAAAGCCAGTAGGTAGGTAGAGGATCGTGCAGGTATCGTCGCAAGGCTTTTCATGCGACGACTACGCCGCTCTCGTTCCCAGGCACACCCATTGACAGCCGCGTCTCAAAGAAGTACCGACCGTCCGGCGAGGGGCCAAAGACGGGATTGAGGGGCAGGTAGGTGTCGTGATGCCACCAAGTGTCGGGATGGGTGGTAGACACGAGTCGAACAGAAAGTTGCAGTAACAGCTGTTGGTAATGGATGACTTGGGGTACCGGTATCCAGTGAACAGGCTCGAGAGACATTTTTCTGGAAGCTAAGACATCCCCACATGGCGTCTCTCTGGTCACTGGTGTTGTCAAGAGTCAAGGACTCGACAGAAAGCACAGGGGGGCTTCATGGATCGAAGGTTGGAGTCAGGCGCCCTAGCGGATACTAAAGGTGGACAGGAAAGGAAAGGATGGGGAGAGGGGAGAGGGTCTATCAAATTCTGTACGAGGAAGGAGCCACACGGTGACAGCCTAGTCTTCTCGGAGCCAAGCCTAAACGGGCTTGAGCTAACGCAGGTCCCTGAAACTAACACCATCAGGCTAGAGTGCCTCCAGGGCTGACTGTGATACTCTAGAGTAGCCCATCCAATCCAAGGAAACTCATCATTTTTGTCCGTGGCCTCGCAGGTTACCGGTAATTCCCCTCACCTGTGTCTGAGAGATCATCAATGCAACACCAAGGACTACACCAATCATATGGCATGCTAGCCATTCTTTCGATCCGAGGAAACTGGCACATTTGCTGCCGTCACGATTTCCTGCCGGAGACACGATGCGTGACGATAGGTATACCGGTACCTCATTGCGAGAGATCCTCTTGGCTCAGCAACTGCATTCTGGGTTACCCATACGTGTCTTCGCTGTCAGCATGGTTCTATGCCGACCATACTAAGTGTACAGAGTTCAGATGAGCCCGTTGTAGCCAAGCCAAGTCAGCATCGTAGCAGGCACAGTAGAAATCCCCTTCCCCCTCCCCCTTATAACGATTACTCATTGCAAGGATACATGCGGTACAACGATAATTTCGCCAAACAGGCAGTCCTTACATCAAAATAGTGATGATTCCAGAATCTAAGATGTCCTTAGCGCAATACGCAATATCGTGATACGGCGATACTTTTAAGGTAATCAGCTAGAGATACCGGTAGGTAAGGCTACATATGCAGGGTCTCTAACGCGTGTTCCTTTGGTGTTTTCTCGCAGCTACCTCCACCATACCTCGCCAGCTAACTAGAGGCTTAGAGTAGGCAGCAAGCTAGCTTAGACACCGCTGACAAGAAATTCTATAGATATATTGATTTGTCATGCCTGACTCAGCGCTAAGAGAATGGGTATCACAGCGACATCTTCACTATGACGATAAAAATCAGCTGACTGACGGCTATCGTTATAAGGGGTACCTCACTGAAGTTCCCAAGAAAGAGCCCGAAACTATCAATGCTTTCCAGATAGATACAGTCAGACACTCTAGCGTCGCGATGATAGCCGGAAATTTGCTGATCGTGGGAATGCTGCTGAACAGTGACATGAATAATTTGAAACTGTGCCAGCATTATTCATATTGCATCTAAGATAAGTAATAACTTGGTACTACCCTAACCAACACTAAATGTAGTTTACCTAGGCGTAATTGCAGCCTCAAGTCAAGTATTGTACATAGGCTGGTAGGGTAGATTGACGACGGTCCCAGTTGGGTGAAGCAAATTTCCGGCTGGCATCGCAACGCTAGAGACAGTGACTAGAGTGAATTAGACTTGACGATAATTCTTATTCAACCATGCAACATTGTCATGTAGAGTATTCCCGCCTGCAATCTGACACTGACGCTGCAAAATGAAATGACTTCCACATCCCATACTGAATCTTATGCAACAGATATCTACATCCGCGAACACTGATCAGATTGTGGATGAACAACTACTAATCAACTTAATCAACTAACACTACAATCACTGCTCCTTATACGGACTGCCTTGAAAGTTGATTCATCGACATCTCACAAATTTGGTCCAAGTTGGTCCGTTCTTTTCTCAGGCTTGCGTCACTGACACTGATAAGTAAACAGTATATAGGTCGTCACTATAGCATCTACACAGTCAGACCCTTTGTCCCATCATGTACATACTTGGTGCTGCCGTGCGAACGACCAAATCCTTCTTCACGGGGTCTGGGTGAGCTTGGAGCTGAGGTTGTTCATGCACACAACGCAACAAAGGGGTCCACATTGACGTCAAAGGCAATGAGTCCGTCAAAGAACTACCATGGCCTAGTCATAACAAAGGAATGTTCAGACCTGAAATCAGTTTCTATCCGGCTTGCGTCTCGGAACCCCCGGATAGACACCAGTACCTACAAACTTACTCAATAATGTGTTATTATAGACTCTTCATATTCCTAGGCTGCGGCCACTCAACATTCTCTGCAAGGCCTCTCAGGTTTTGCCCAAATGCGCAATCCAACATAGTTGCTAATACCAAAAGGCGCAAAAGATCTCTCGATGCAGCCAGCCGTTCGTCGAGTGCGACGACAAAGATTGATGAAGCGGGCGAGACAATCATACCATCTGGGGACCAAGTCCGACTAGAGACTCAAGGAACGACAAAAACCTCGCATAAGATCAAAAAGCCACTCCCAAGATCTTCGTCCCCTGCTATAGACGACTTTAAGCCCTGCGCAGATGGTCGAGCCCATCCGTTCAACCGAATAAGGCTTGAGCGGCTCTGTGCCATCTGTGAGTACGACCGCGACCAGAGACTTCAGGCTCTTGAGAGCTCGACAGATGAGATCAGATTTGAACCAGCGAGATGGCGGTGGAAATACCAGGGCACGAAGGGTCCGCGCGCTGGCAGAGGCGATGAGTCTGGAGTGAGAAAGGAAGGAAAACGAGCGAGCGGGCTATGGGGAATGGGGACTGCAGTTGAGGGTTGGTGGAAGTGAATTCTTAGTTCTATGCCCCTTAGTCTTTTTGCTCTACAATTAATGTCGTAATCTGGTATAACCAAGCGAAAGGTGGTTCGTCCAGTCATGACGAGGGAATAGTCATGTCACGTGCAAATGCAGCTCGGGTCCGTCCGTCATGGGAAGCTCGCAACTTCACCACCTCCAAACGCATCTCCCACCCCACGTCCGCCGCCCAACCGCTGAAACCGACGCACCGGTCGTTTCTGACGATCGATTCAATTGCCTATCCCGATTCTCTATCCTGCGCACCACGCTCTGCTCCCGCAATGCCTACTCCCGAGTCCGAGATGTTCCTGGCGAAGAAGCCAAAGGTTGCGCCAACCTTTGAAGGCGTCGACTATGACGACAACACCGCCTTGAAGGCTGCACAAGATGCCATTATCCGCGAGCAATGGGTCAAGAGCATGATGGCGCGGTTAGTGAGGGACGAGATGGGCAAGTGCTACCGACGGGAAGGTGTCAACCATCTGGAGAAATGCGGGCATTTGAGAGGTAGGATCCCCCGGAATATGCTGTCGAAGGTTCAGGGAAACACTTGGCTTGAAGAAACGAAGCCCTAGGCCATTTTGTGTTCAGGGTATTCATCTTGAAGATGGCAAGGTGCATTGTCGCTTCCTGCTTCGCACAATAGTCTCAGACACGACATGGTAGACTAACAGAAGCTCTGCAGAACGATACTTTGAGCTGCTTAAGGATGCAAAGGTCAAGGGCTACCTTTTTGCGCAGCAGAACTACCTCGACGATGCCTGGAAGAAATAAGCAGCGAGGCTACAGGCGACAGGACCTCTTTGCAATTTTTGAAGGAGCAACACAGGGCAGGCGATGAGATTCGCGTAGGGAACGATTTACTCTCAGACCTCCAGGACGACATGGGTCTTTTTTACCTTGACGAATAGCACCTTTGTGTAATTGCATTCACGCCTATGCCACTCGTAATTCTGTACATACATCCGGCGCAGAAGGGTAGCCTACCTAGCACGAGACAGCGATTGGAGTATAGAATTACATGGTGCGTCCAAGACTTGGGTGCTTGAAACCATCCAAGATTGTTCAAGACGTTTCATATGCTAGCCAAGTAGCTCACAGATATATGTGGTTGACAGATAGGCCAAACCTACCATGATGCGGCCAAGCCTCACAATCTAACCCCACCACGATCGCGTACCTGCATCTACTACCCCCAACAGCCCCGACTAACGCGCCACAAGATGCCATTTCCCTTCGTACTCCCGACCACTTCGAGTATATCCTTTACAGACTTCTTCAATAGCAGTACACACCCTTCGCTACCAAACTGCGCCACGACCGCGCGGGGTGTGGTCCGCGACGTGTTGAAGAGACATAAGCGCATCCCACCTTCCGCCCAAGCATCGAACCTTTCCACGGTGATATCCGCCCTCAATGACTACATACCATACTTGTTTGCGCTAGACGCAGGGCTGAGCGGGACAAGTTGCGCAGGAGAAGAAATCGACCTGGTACTGGTCAAAGAGCTGGAAGTGGACTGGCGATCCACGCTTGGGACTTCGATAGCCGGGCGTGAGCCAGCGCGGATTAAGCTAAAGAGTCTCGAGAGTGAACTCTGCTACACGCTGTCCACCCTCGCATATGTCTATAGCCTTCAAGCTCGGGCACAGCTACATACACTCTATAATGCGACCGTGCCATCGCCTGAACAACGGGCAACGGCGATTAGCACTGCTATGAAGCACTTTCTCGAAGCCAACTCAATACACTCATACCTGTACAATCGAGCCGGGCAATGGAATTCGCAGCCAACAGCGGTAGACATCTCGGTCTCAGTCTTGGGCGCCTTGGCTGAGCTTAGCATGGCTGAAGCTACCCTCATCACCGTACTCAAGGACGACCCATACCCCGCTGTCGTTATAGAAGATAGGAACAAGCAGAGTAAGAACTGGATGTTCAAGGGCGTCGATATACCCAAAGTTCGCGCGCATCTCTTTGCACGATTGTGCCTCGCATCCTCCGAACACGCAGCCAAAGCACAAGCCATGCTAGGCCGCTCTTCTAGGATCAACGAGGACCTTGTAAAGTACGTGGACGACTTGCGGCGGACTGCCAAGGGCAAGGCATGTCGATTTCTTGCTTGTGATGCAGAAGGGGGTGGCAAGACTGGGGAGGGCATCGCCTGGCTTCGAGGTGCAAAGAAAGAACTTGGTTTCGCCTCGTTGGGTGCCGAGGACGAAAAGAAGCCGTCTGGCTTTTCCAAACTGAAGAAGGATTGGCAGGAGAAGCGTGAGGACCGCAAGATCGAAAAGGGTGTCGACTGGGGCACAGATGCAGGCAAGTTTGAAGAGGGACGAATTGTGGATATGCTTCTGAAGAAGTGGGAGAAGCAAAATGACACAGTATGTTCAAGACACATATTTCAAAGTTGAATCTCCACTAACATTCTTTCCAGGCCGGTATACAGTTGATTCCTCCTTCTGAACCCCTACTTGCAAGTATGCCTTCGGGTCGCGAGTATCATACAACAAAGATGTTTGTCATTCCAGCACTAGATGAGCACTCGCTCATCCGCATGAGGGCGCCACCCGATCCGAGTGATGCCTTTCGAGGCGAGGAAGAAGATAGTGCTGACGAAGATGAGCGGAGTGCACCTGCGGGCGCGTTTCCTGGTACCAAGGCAGACTATGTGCCGAGCTCGAGCTACTACTAAACGCCGATTTCGTTCACTGCTACTCTTATCAGCACATATTTTGCTCAATGCTCTTGTCTAAAACTCACAATCCAACCAGTCTTTGACTTTACTCGGTGAGCAAAATTTGCAACAGACGTGACCTCTTGTTGAACTTTGAGATTTTCAGCAGGCAGTTCATTTCAATCCTGAATGCCTTGTTGAAGACCTTTGCCTTTGCTAATAGTATTCCAGACATGAAAAATTGCCTACTATGTTTGCCTTCCCTATACGACAAGAATCAGGGGCGGCGAATTCAGCTATCCCGCCCAGACCTTGGAAGTTCTGCAATGCAATTGGCCGAATAGTATCGCATACTGGGTTCCCTTGGAAAATCAGTTGTGCTGTAATGTGTATTGGCTGTAGTAGCTCAAGGAAGCTTCCAAACGAATACTGGTTGGTCGTGATTCCATCCATGTTTCGGGCAGCAACGTGAGCATCAACGTGGTATCGACATGTGGCAATAGGGCGTGGGCTGAGGTGGGTATTGACGTAGACATCGAGGTGGATATTGTGCGGGTATCGAGTGGATATTGAGGCAGGTATTGAGTTAGGTACGAGAGAGAAGGTGTCGCGGTGGGTATTTGGCAATCGAATGAATTGTTATTGGGTTGATGAAAGGGTTATGGGATGGGCAGGAGCCACATGATAAACCCAAGACATCAATAGACGCTAGTCCCGTACTGGAGGATAGCCAATACCTCTTTCCCGGATACTGACCACCGTGGTTGCCATTATCGGATGAGTAAGTTAACTACCACCTACCGAATGATGACTTGTTTCCAAGGATTTCGAGGACTCGGGCTGCCCTTGAACAGCCAGGCAATGGAGAGACACTGTGGGGGTACAAACAGGATATGCCACGTAAGACAGGCTCCAGATTGGTGGTAGTAGCAGCGGGAGGAAGAAGTGTGGTTGAAGAGGGACATCAAGTCCAGCGTTGAAGGTACAGTTGGATTGTTCGATGTTGCTAACCGTGAAAATGCATTACTAAACAAGCAATCCCATTGGCTACAAGAAACAATTCACAATAATGCTCTACCCCCTATTGGCTGTCCATCGACGGTTTCAACAGATCGCCAAGTGTCAGCCAGATGACTAGATTGTCCATCCAGCTCTCCACCCTCACTAGACTGACATGTCTTGCGGCACGAACTGACGGGCAGGCCCGAAAGCTATGCCTATGGAAGCATGTCCAGCCGGGAGGGCAGGAGGCTGGGATCCACAAGATCTGCTGTGTCTGGGCTATGTAAACAGTACTAGGCGTTCAGCTCTTCGGACACGGGAAGCAATGTCAGCGTTGCGTCCATGTACCCTACCGGTAACCGGCGGTACCTAAGCCAAGGCTTTTGGGCGTTTCTAAATGGCAGACGGGATTTCTCCCAGTCCCCTCTCCTCCACCCCTGCCTACCGTACAGAGGGAAGAGGCTAGGCGAACCTAGGCTAGAGTACCGGTATGGCCACAGATGATCTTGATAAAGAGATAGCAACACCATCCAACGTCATTCGCTGCACGCACGCCTTGTCCTCCAATCTACTGGGCCACATCCATCGTCGCCATGTCCTGTGTAGTGTTACTCTCGTTCTGCGGAACCCCCCGCTCGTCATGTTCCACACATTGATATGCTAACTCGATATGCCAAGGGATGGGGGGAGGGGGCCCTGGAGCATGTTCCTACATAGTAGTAGGACATACTCGAGCTGCCTCATCTGGTCTGCTGCTAGAGCATAGCTCCTGGCGGTCTTGGGTGACAGCTGGGTTTCCCTTGTAACCATCGTCTTTCTTTCTTTGATTGATCTTCTTATTCTTGGGCGCTACCGGTATTGACTGCCCTGCTTTCCCTCCAACACAAGCCAGCCAGCAAACCTCGCGCATTCCCGCGGCCATTGGCCAACAATGGCGACCAAACGCGAACCCTCCTCCTTGGGCCATCAGAACCGCTCCGTCGCTGAAGAGCAAGTCACATCCATTCTGCCAGGAGGCGAGATACCCTACGAATCCACGCACGCATTAAACGCCGACGAAGAAGTGCTCGCCGCTCTCGGCTACAAGAGTGAATTCAAGCGAGAGTTTTCCCTCTTCACCACCTTCTGCGTCAGCTTTGCCGTCTTGGGCTTGTTGCCCAGTTTTGCCAGTACGCTGTACTATGGCATGGGATATGCGGGGACGGCGGGGATGACGTGGGGTTGGATCATTGCCATGGTGGGGATACAGTGTGTGGCGTGTAGTATGGCGGAGCTTTGCAGTTCCATGCCTACCAGTGGTGGACTGTACTATGCTGCGGCTGTTTTGGCGCCCGAGGGATGGGGGCCGTTTGCTGCCTGGATTACTGGGTGGAGTAATTGGCTTGCTCAGGTTACGGCGGCGCCGTCTGGTCAGTGGTCTTGCGTGTCTTACAGTGTTGTCTTCCAGGTATGGTGGATACGAGGACTGATATGTTCAAGTAGTAAACTATGGCATCTCTGCTATGATGCTTGCTGCAGCCTCGATCCACAATCCAGAATACGTCCCTACAAACTACCAGACCTTCCTCCTCACATTCTTGATCATGATCCTACACGCAATCCTCTCCTCTATGCCCACAAAGTGGCTCGCGCAATTCAACTCGGCCGGCTCCACCTTCAACTTCCTCGCCCTCATCGTCGTCATCATCTTGATCCCCGCCGGCACAGACCGACCCTCACGCGGCCTGCCTCGCTTCTCCCCATCCAGCGAAGTCTGGGGCACAATGTACAAGGGCACGTCTTTCCCCCCCGGCATCTCCGTCCTCATGTCCTTCATCGGCGTCATCTGGACCATGAGCGGCTACGACAGCCCCTTCCACATCGCCGAGGAGTGTTCAAACGCGAACCTGGCATCCCCGCGCGCAATCGTCATGACGTCGGCCACCGGCGGCATCTTTGGCTGGTTTCTGCAACTCGTGGTTGCGTACACGGTCGTGGATATCGACCAGGTGCTCGATTCAGAGCTGGGCCAGCCCTTTGCCGCATACCTGATGCAGTGCATGTCGCGCAAGATTACGCTGGGTATTCTAGCGCTGACCATTGTCGCGGGGTTTAGCATGGGCCAGGGCTGTATGATTGCGGCGAGTAGGGTGACATTTGCTTATGCACGGGATGATTGCTTCCCCTTTTCTCGATACTGGAGAGTGGTGAATAGGTACACGCAGACGCCGGCGAATGCGGTGTGGTTCAATTGTGCGGTTGGGATCCTATGTTTACTGCTTATTTTTGGCGGAGAGTTGGCCATTGGAGCGTTATTCTCCATTGGCGCCATTGCTGCTTTTGTGTGAGTGTTTCCCCCTTTTCTCTCTCCTCCCAAGACGCTGAAAACAGTTCGAGGAGTACGGAAAGAAGCGTTTTACTAAGTTGCCACAACAGGGCATTCACCATACCCATCTTCATCCGCGTCTTCATCGTGGGAAACCGCTTCCGTCCCGGCCCGTGGCATCTGGGTAGATATTCCCTGCCTGTCGGCGCAATCGGCTGCTCCTTTGTCATCCTCATGGTCCCCATTCTCTGTTTCCCCAGCGTCACCGGGCCCGATCTCACGTACGTCCTGCACCCATCCTGCCACATGCGCATGTATCACACACAATCCCCCGCACGAACCCATCACTGACCAGCACACCCCGCAGCGTCGAGGCCATGAATTGGACCGCGGTCGTGTATGGCGGTCCGATGCTTTTCATCCTCATCTGGTGGTTCGTCTCCGCGCACACATGGTTCAAGGGGCCAAAAGTCAATATCGATCATATGATGCTGGGTCGCGGAGAGACTGTCGTCGAGGGCCAGGGTTTGCCTTTTGCTGCCGGGAATGGCAGTTTGTCAAGTGACACAAAAGTGCCTCGGACAGTTTTGAAATTTTGACATGGATGGTTTGGACGTGGTGTGAGGATTAGTATAGCATGCATTGGGGTGCACTGGGTAGTAGGTGGTAGTATACCCTTTGCACGACAAGATCAGGAAATCTCATTCCAGAAGAGCGTCAACAACACCAACAAAGTCGCCTTTGGGCATATTTCAGTCCCACAAGTCTTGCACATCAGTGCACGTTTGGTTTATGTACTTGACGAGCCAGCCTGTTAGTAAGCTTACTTCTCTGGGAGGTAGTAAAGTCGTCTTCGCTAGGATACGTCTTTGGTGTCGCGGTCAAGGAAGCAATGCAGCTAGCTACGAATGCGAAACGTCAAGGCGTTGCGGAATACGTTGCGCTCCTTGTTGGAATGAACATCGCGGCTGTTGTTGACCGGTGCGGCGATGGTGTCTTTGGGAAGCGTGGCTTGTACCGGTAAGCTAAGGGCTCCTTTGTAAAAGCAGGTAGCAAGGTGGGGGGGTATTGATATATCGCGGTAGCAAGGTAGGTATCAGGGTAAGTTTTACAGTAGCCATCAAAACATCACAAACCGACTACCATCCCTCACCTTCAACCATCCCTACCACCAAACTCCTCCTTGAACTTTTTCACACTGCACCAGACCATTCCCCACCCCTGTCACACCATTCCCCCCCCCCCAATTCCGCCTAGCCCCCTAGCCACCCTAGTCTAGTCTACTTATCCCACTTCAGCAACCACATCCCCTTCCCACCCCCAACAGACCAAGTATATATTCTCTACCAATCCACCTTCTTTCATCAATCAGATCATCCCAGATCGTATAGTGGTCAGTATTTCTGCTTGTCATTGCTTTGAAAAGCGGAATTCGCAGGAGACCTGGGTTCAATTCCCAGTCTGGGAGCTCATACCATTTCTTTTTGCGCCAAATCCTTGTTTGGCTGGATTATGTCTACTATGGACTACTGCTTTTGGATAACGCGGTGCAGGTGGGAGTGGTTTTTTTGGCTGCTAGAGTAGCTAGCGAGATTAAAGTCTTAGGTTGGATAGCGAGTGCATTGTTCTCATAGTTTGTAGCTAAACACGTGTTTTCTCAATCTTGACGTGTCGTGTCTGAAAGGGGATTGTGTCGAGGACCTGTGTTCGTGGGTTGATTGGTTATGGAGGGGGGTATGTGGTTGCAGGTGAGGTGTATGCAGTATAGTATTTGTTACGTATAGTGACTACATCTGCACCAACAAATCTCACTCGTCTCGGCGTGAGAACCTCAGTCCCATGCCAATATTTAACACTACCCCTCCCCCCCTCGCCCCCCTAAGAATGGCATCAAAACGGCCGTGATCATACTAACTCTCATTCCCCTCCCGCTCGACAGGACCACCACCCGGCTGTCCAGAATCAGCCTGCAAGCCAGCCTTACTCGCCCTCTTCCTCCTCCGTTCCGCCCTCTCGGCATCCCGCTCCAACTTCTTCGCCTTCTCGGCCTCAAGGCCCGTCTGCGCCTCCTCATGCGTCTTCTCGAGCCGATTCCGCGTAATGGCGAGCGAGACGAGCAGGCCCAGAAAGGAAAAGCAGACGTACATGATCCACATGGTGCTGAGCGAGTCTGCAAACGCTTTGCGCGCCACCGCTTTTTGGGCAGCGGGCAGGGCTCGGATGAGGCCCACGCTGGCGCCGGAAAGGACGAGGCTGTGTCGGGACCTAGACTCGCGGCGAGCTCGGCTTGCTTGGAGGCCATTTGGTTGTTGAAGACGACGGAGCCGACGACGACGGAGATGGCGGAGCCGAGGTTGCGCGTGAAGCCAAAGGTCGAGGTAGCAGTCGCGATGTCGCGTTTCTAAGGAGAAAAAATGTTGGTGTATCTATTTTGGAAACAGAGATGAGGGAAGCCATGGCCCGCAAAGGATGCGGCTGCGTGGGGGGAAACGGTGCGGATCGAAGCATGCACGACGGGTTCTTTTCAACGTAACCATGCATTCCTGCATGTCGTACTAGAGCCTCTCACGCCAACCAAAGTTTGGAGAAAAGGAGGGCGACTTACGGAAACGAGTGATTGCAAGGCGATGAGCGGGCTTTGAAAGTTTGGGCCGACTCCTATACCGACAATGATCTGGTACAGGATGATTTTGGGCCATGATAGGTTAACATCATAATCGATAAGGAGGCCAAATCCAAGTGTCATGACGACCATGCCGGACCATATCAGCGGGAGGTATTGCCCGGTCTTCTTGATAAAGACACCGGTGAAGGCGGATAGCGCGGATAGCGCGAGCGCTTGTGGAAGCAAGTAGACACCAGACATGATTGGCGACGCGCCGAGCACAGCCTGGAAGTAAAGCGGTAGAAAGTAGCTGGCGGCGATGGAGACAAACCCATGGATGAAGCAGGTTGCGAGAGCGGCGAGGTTCGACCTTTTGGAGAAGAGGTCGAGAGGCATCAGTGGGTAAGGGGCAACCCGCCATTCGATCAAGAAGAAGATGCCAATGACGACCACTCCAAAGATGATCAGACAGAGTACCACGGCAGAGTCCCATGGGTAGGAAACACCTCCAAACTCCAGACCTAGCAGGAACATGATGACGCCGCCAACCATGGCCAGTGAGCCAAGCCAGTCCACAGCCTTGAGTCCCTGTCGTAGTGGCGTCTTGGGTGTCTTGACATCCAGGAAGAAGACGATGATGAGAAAGGCGACGCCATCAAAAGGTAGATTGATGTAAAAACACCACCGCCACGACACCCTCTGGGTGAGTAGACCGCCCACGACGGGACCGAGAGACGAAGCCACGGCCCATATGCCACCCACCATGCCATAGTAGGCTCCTCGATCGCGTACGGAGAAGAGATCAGAGATGGCAATATTCACCAGCGTAGCGAGACCTCCGCCCCCTATACCCTGAATCACTCGCGCCACGATCAGCATGTCCATGTTCACCGCGACACCAGCAATCAGCGAGCCGACGAAGAAGATGGCATTGGTGACGAGCAAGATGGGTTTTCGCCCGAATATGTCTGACACCTTGCCCCATATGGGCGTCGCAGCCGACTGGGCAATGAGGTAGGCAGAGCCGACCCAGGTGTATCCTGATGCGCTGTTGAGCTCGGTGGCGATGGTTGGCAGCGCAGTGGTAATGATGGTGATGTCCAAGGCAACCAACAACACCGCTACACAGAGTGAGAACATGATCAGCGCGATGGTGATCTTGCTACGCGCTGGCACATGTTGCTCAGGCGGTCCCTCTACTGCAGCTTGTGTTCCTTCTGCCTCTCTTTTCACTCCATTTTCTTCATGTGAAGCTTCCTCTCTTCCGGCAAGGCTCTTTATACTCGGTGACGATGTTGCGGCGTCGGCTGCAATGGTCGGTGTATTTTGACTTGGTGTCTCGGTGTCCAGTCGGACAGTCGCATCCTGTGGCAGACTCATAGCAAATGAGATGGTATGCAAAATCCGAGATAGGCACAAAGTAAGGTTTGAGCCTGTCAAACGTTTAAGACATGTTTGGGGGCATCTGAGATGTCCATCCTCGTTCGAACAAAACAGTGTGTTTGTCACACGGTGATAATGTTAACGCCGATTGCAGGGGGTTCAGACTTGAGCGCGGAATCGGTCACCGTCCCGTCGATACGACGACCATGGCGAATCTCCATTGTTCGTGGGGCCGACAACCATACGGAATTGAGATGAATGAGATGATTGGGAAGATGCGAATCAGTTATAACAGGCAATACAAGTCTTCGACGTCAGCCACGCAGTTTGACCGAGGTGACTGCCAGCACCAGATCAATATGTTTGGTAGCGCGATTGTCCAATCACAGCTCCCGTCATCATCAAGCCACATGTTGCGTGGGACAGGACAGGACAGGACAGGATATAGAAGTGTGTGTTGGTGTTTGATGTAGTGCACTGCAAAATGTCTGACCTTTGGTTAGTAGTCAGGTCAAGCTGGGTAGCGCAGGGGGTTTCCAAGGCCAGGACAAGGTAAGTAACACAAGTGGCCTCATCCTTTGTTGGTCTGCTGGACTAGAAACAGGGTCTGCTGTCTGTTGGTCGGCCTCTCTGGTAGCAGGACTACGATGGTGGTAGCATCCATCCCCTACCCACGCGGCGTACCGGACCTGTTGGACCATCACCCGGCGGAACAGCCGTAGTTGACCGCAAGTGGCAGGGCTATTCTGGGGATGCGTGTGGAGGACTCGTCATCAGCGGTATTGCGGGTGCATGGTTTCCCTTTATGGTGGGACGAGACGGATATCCGATTCCAACATGGCGCGACCCAAGCCAAACAAGAAAATTGGCTGCATTCGTTGGTCGATCGAGGGAATGAATAGTACATGTTATTTGACCTGTTCACAATAAGCGAACTGACTGGGACTTGTGCGGGAACGATTGGAGGGCAGGCTCGCCGCTCCACCTGGTTCCCCAGCGCTGGGCATGCGATGTTGTGGGTTGTGGAGGAGCAGCGGTTGAGTGGGTTGGGGGGTGGCCAGGGTGGATTTCGTCGTGGTTAGAGTTGGACAGTGCAGTGCAATGCTCAAAGTGCTGCGCTGCTTTGGTGTTGAGAAGCTAGAGGTGCGGCTAGTGCAATCGTGCAGGCACAGCGGCG